CTGCCGCGCCATCGCCCCCCGCCGCCGCGGCCGCGCCCCCGCCCACCAAGCGTCCCCACGAAGACGAACACCCGCCTGCTGACAGGAAACCACCCGTAAGTTATTAAAAAATTGATAGAAAAAATATTAATCACTCAACAAATTAAAATACCTATAAAGATAGACAGGCTGAACATCAAGCTAGTATAAGCTGAGCATTCAAAGATCGTACAAAGCCAGGTCATGATATAGTGGTTTTGTATAGCTACATATCTAGCTATGCAATACCAGTATAAACTGACCGTTGAATGTACGGAAAGATGATATAAAGCATGACCATAATAAACTGGTTTTCTTACCCCTGCGCGTGCCTCAAAGAGCCATCAGACCACCACGGATGGGGAGTAATAGGCCTGATGCCGATACGGAGCCGCGGAGTTCTTAACGGGTTGCCGGTGCTCCGGCTCGAAGTGCAGGAGTAGGAACGGGGCGGTTTTTAGTCAGTAAGAGTCTGACACTCCCTCCCGCAGAAGTCCATCGATGTTATTCCCCGCTTAAAAAAAATTGTGTAGTCTCATCGCTCATCATAAAATGGCATTCTCAAATACTAAATCTTAATCAGTACATTATTTACTAAATAAAATGTTCTCTTACAGGCACCAAAAAAAGAGAAAGGTCCGGCCCCCTTACCCCCTTCATCGACCCCCGCTACCCCGACCACCACCGCTCCCCCCACCGCCACGACTCCCGCTCGCAAACAACCCGCGCCTCCTCCTCCAGTCCCACCTCCCACACAGAATCGACAACCATCCCCCTCTCCGTGCCCCACTCCGTCCCCCACTCCCCCTCAGACTCCCTCGTCGTCCCCCGCAAGAGACGAGGTCGTGGATACCGCTACTACTGGCAGGCTGATTGTAGACCAGGTATGTTTGAAAATATATCTAATAATTATTTTTAACTAGCTTTTACCCGTGGCTTTGCTCGCGTCACAAAAGGATAAAAAGCCAATGTGACATATACCAATACACACCGCGCCATCTATACCAATACTTTTGTTTTCCCTCGGGGATATAAAATTTTCCGGGATAAAAGTACCCTATTATTTAATCCGGACTTCTAACTATACATCTGCAAAAATTCAAAGCAATCGGTTTTGTAGTTATGTCGTGAAAGCGGAACAAACAAACAAACAAACAAACTCACTTTCCGATTTATAATATTAGTAAGGAAGTAAGGATTGGTAGTTGCCACGGTATAAAAATTTTAAATATATTTAGTCCATCAGTTAAACAATTAAAAAATATTAGACACGTATTTTTTTATTTTGTCGAATAAAGTTTCAATATTTAGATAAAATGGCGTTAAGTTTAGGAGTGGGCGGTCGTCACACTATATTTCAAATCAATATATCGTCGAAAGCATTTAATTTTGTAAGAGAAGAAAAAATTCGTGTCTAATGTTTTAACATAATATACCAAACGGACATGAAAAAAAAAATAGGAAACTACTAGAGTGAAATTCTTACTCGTTCTTCAACATAGGAATGTACACTTTGGAACAAGCAAATAGAGCAACTTGAGGACTGAGTTACAGACCGACACTTTTTTTAAGTAAACCATAATTTGGTACTTTTGAAACGTCAACAAATACAAAATAAATAATAGTCTGTCAGTCTGTCCATCAGTGAAGCTAGGTGAATTTGACGATCAAAGTGCTTTCCTTAATAATTTTCACTTTGGCTTTAGTGCAAAGTTCAAATCTCGGTTCGAACAAAGCATTGTGCATGTGATAGAAAATTGAAAGAATGACTATGACCAACTTCCGAACCAGGGCCTTTAGCCAAACGCCACTTTAGCGCTTGTCTACAAAGAGAGTAGAAAATTAAACGTATGGGGATGACACTGACAAGTGTCAAAATTTACGTCAATTCCATATAATTTGGTTTCCTATTCTACATGTAGACAAGCGCTAAATGGCATTTGGCTTCAGCTGCAGGTTCGACTGCCAAGTTAAACAGAGTTTTGAGTATCCAAAGATTCTTAAAACATAGTCAATCAGAACATAAGATTTGTAAAAAAAAATAAGTAAAGTTGATATTACTTTTACGTATTTTATTCAATAAATAGGACCTTGTCGCGGAGAACCTAACGGGTAACCGGGGCTCCGGCTCGACGTGCAGGAGAAGGAACGGGGTGGTTTTTAGTCAGTAAGAGTCTGACACTCCCTCCCGCCTCACCCAGGCGGGAGCAGTCATTCGATGATTTTCCCCCCTTAAAAAAAAAACCCTTTGAGTACCGTCATTATAGACACAATTAAAGATCAATAGGTTGCGGTCACCGGTGTCCTCGCGATGTTTGACAGTTTAAATTGCCCTTTATAATCAACCTCATTCGCCACAGGTATGCAGAGACGCAGAAAAAGCAGTAGAAAACAAGAAATCCGAAGCAAAACCCAAAAACGAACCAAAACCGTCAGAAATAGACAAACAAACACATATACAAACAAAACAGAACAACATAGAAGATAATAAAGTCAAAACAGAGATAGAAATTGAAAAGAGAGAGTCGGTTAAGAGAGAGATAGAGAAGAGAGAGTCGATAGAGAAGACTGGTGTAGAAGTAAATAGAGTGAGTGCAGAAGTAAGTAGGTTAGAGAAGATTGAGAAGAGTTTCTCTCGGTCCGGTTCTACGGATGAAGAGGAGAAGAGAAGAGATGTTGATAGGAGATCGCAACATAATGCTGTGGAGATTAGGCCTGTGACGGTAAGCGATTATGTATATATATTTTTGTTTTTTTTTTTAATGATAAATTCCGTGTTTAGGATATTTTATGGTTTCTAAATTCATAGGTTTTCTATTTAGGTATCTATGTTACTGCCTCGTTGACCGAGTGGTTGCAAGTGCGACTGCCGAGCACGAGGTCTCGGGTTCCGTTGCCGGGTTGGGCAAAATACTACAGGTTTAAATAAAAAATCTCAGTAGTAGCGCGGAGTTTGGAAATATGCCTGGTATATGGTAACATACCCCTATTACATGGGACTCATAACATAAATAGTGAAACACTTTTCACTATTTATGTTATGGTGTTACATTGTACAGTGGCATTAAGTGCCGAAATGTGCAGCTCCGTCTATTTACGCGAGACACAATGTATTTTCTATTGATAGTTTTGTATAGGAAAGAGGTTAATTAACTGATTTCACAAACCGAAGGAATTGATATTGGTTTTTTTAAACATAGCTTAGGTAATTCTTTTAACCTATATTAAGTGACTTTGTTTTGTCAATTGATAGGTTTTATACAAAAACAATTTTATATTTTATACCTTGTAACAATAATATTTTTGTCGTCAGCCGCCTCAACCCAAAGATTCGCCGTCGAAGCAGCCGAAGCCCACCGTGGTGGTGCAGCCGGTGAGCCCGGTGGTGGTGGCCGTGAAGGACAGCGTGGTGGTGGTGGAGCCCAACAGCCTGGCGGCGTGCCCGGCCGGCCTCGTCACCGTCACCACCACGCACCCGCCCGTGCTCAGCACCGCCGCCGCGGTCAGTCGCTGCTTCTTCTCCTCTACTTTATTTATATACAACTAGCTTTTACCCGCGGCTTCGCTCGCGTCACAAAAAGATAAAAAGTAGCCTATGTGATATATACCAATACACACAACGCCATCTATACCAATACTTGTGTTTTCCCTCGGAAATACCAAAATTTTTCTGGGATAAAAAGTATCCTATTATTTAATCCGGACTTCTAACTTTACGTCTGCAAAAATTCAAAGCAATCGGTTTAGTAGTTACGGCGTGAAAGCGGAACAAACAAACAAAAAATCAAACTCACTTTCCGATTTATAATATTAGTAAAGATAAACCGGTAAACGAGCCGACGCATCACCTGATGGTAAGCCATCGGCGTCGCCCATGGCATCTGGAACATCAGAGGCGTTACAAGTCCGTTACCGGCCCTTTAGGATTGGGAATTTGAGGATTGTTGGTGATGCAGGGAATTGGGTACACTGTGGTTGTTTCACTATGGTTTTCTGCTCGGCCATGGTGTCACTCCGATCGAGCCGGCCCTGTTATGCCAAAGCATGGCTTTCTCACACTTAAAACTTAACAGATATAATCTCCACGAGAGCGTCGCTGCTCGATCTTTGTAAAATAATATAATCGCATAGGGCCGATGTTGCTATCATCAGCTAATTCTTAACTGGAGAATAAAATTGACATTTGACAGTTTTTAGTATGGAAGAATATTGTTAAATGTTGAACGTTATTGCTCAGTTAAAATATATGTGCTGTTGGAAAAATCAGCCTTCAGTCGTGTGTATGATACCCGCTGGATAATAGGGGTGTGCGACTGCCGGGCAAGGGGCCAAAGTATTATTGGGTTTTTAAAAAACGTCTTACGGTGTCTGGAATTGTGCCCGGTATATGGCAATAGGCTCACCCCCTATTACATGGGACTCATAACATAAGTAGTGAAAATTGGGTGTTACATTGTACAGTGGCATTAAGTGCCGTAATCTGCACCTCTGCCTATCGCTTTGGGGTTAAAAAACTTGATGTTATATTATGTGTAACATAGCTACAAGGTGTACGATAGTATATATATATAGTTTTATCCCCAGCTTCCACCAAACGCGGTGACAATATCGACGACGCCGCCCATAGCTGACGAGGTGGTGATAGTCGGCGCCGGGTCGTCATCAGACGATGACTGCTTCGCGCCATCATCGCTGGACTCCTTGGATTGTACGCATTATAGCGGTAAGTAACTGTAGTGGTTGTTACAAGTCTGGTGTTATGGGTTACCATTTTTATCTCAAAATGTCATATTTGTAAAATGACAACCGATCACAAAATGGCCACTGCTCGAAATGTCCACTGCTCGAAATGTCAACTGCTCAAAATGTCAACTGCTCAAAATGTCCACTGCTCGAAATATCCATATCAAATATCCGATGAAATGCTCCCGTGGGATAAAACAGGAATACTCCAACCAACAAAGCCGCGGGTAAAAGCTAGTTTTGAATATTGAAAACTAATTTTAACTATTTATTTTAGAAAAAACTCGAGGTCGTCGCCTGGATAGCAGTGAGGTTCTGATACTCAGTCCCACTGCGGCCGCCACCGACTCGGGAGTCTTTGACGACAGCGTCACCAACGGACTGCACCTGGTAAGCGTGCTAAATAGATATTTTTTTTATTTTACTTTATCATATCACATCATTATCAACATCCTATAAGTTAAATAAAATCGCGGGTTACTCACGTGAGTATACAGAGAAACACTCTACTAGTTTCGAAGCCTATAAGTGCCCATTGCTGACCAAAGGCCTCTTCTCACACGGAGAAGGTTTGAGCATTAATCACTACGCTTATTCAATGCGGGTTGGCGATTTCAAACTTGTAATTAGAAATTATAAGCCCAGGTCTCCTCACGATGTTTTCCTTCACCATTTGTCAGTGGTGTTTAGATAATCTTAGAAAGTACATGTAACTCGGTAAAAGTCACATTGGTACTTGCCGTTGGTAGGTTCCGAGCCTGCACCCTCATGCATGACTAGCGGGCATATTAAACTTACGATCACCACGACATTTTACCTTATACATTTTGATATTGTTCACGACGAAGGCGAACACAATACCTCTAGAAAAATGTTTTCATAGTTCAGACGGGGAAAATTAAAAATCTAATTAGTCCGTCAGTCGGATAATGAAAAAATGTTAGACACGTATTTTTTTATTTTCTCGTAATAAGTTATACATACTTAGATAAAGTTGTACAGTCTCTTTTCTTTGTGCCTTTAGGCTTAATTCACTCTGTCTCCTGCAGTAATTCACCGAGGGAAGTGGAAACTATCGTTTTTTTCTTCTCCTCTTATAATATCTCCTGATTCACTTCGTTGCGGGAACCAAGACAGTTACTCATGTCCCTGGGACGCGCCGGACTTCAGTGTTCTGGTGTTTCTACTGTAGATCCTGGCTTACAGGAGTTGCAGCGGTTTCGGGGGGATGTGGCGGACTTGCGCCAAAAAAAAAAATACTAAGATAAAACGGAGTTATGGTTAGGAGTCGACTCACGAGATTTCAAATTAATATGTTGTCGAAAGTATTTAATTTTGTGAGAAAAGTAAAAATACTTGTCTAATCACGGAATATAGAATACAATGGAAGTAGCAAGTAGGCGTGACACGCGTGCCACAGCTAAGCTGTGTACTGCTTACTCGAGGCAAAATTTGAGTTCAGTCTCGTTCGAACATGGCGTCGAGTTGCTAGTCTCGTGTCAAATACATATTTCCTCAACTATGCCGTTTTGTTCCGTTTTGGCGTGTAAAAATGATAGTAGCCGAAAAATCGTAAAAATGGAGGTGTTCCGTATCATCGGTAAGTACCTACAATTTATTGTTTTCTTGTAGAAATCTTATTTTATTTCAATTTACAAAAACAGTTATTAAAATAATATTATTTACTAAAAAAATTAGTCAAAATCAACCTTACGCCTTCAAGATAAAGTTTATTTTGGATTTATTCCATTCAATAGAACATTCTCGCCAGTTCTACGCTACTCAAATAGTTATGTAGTCAAATCACATATTGAATTTATCGATTGATATCGATGCAAGTGTAATGTAACATTTATTTAGATTATTTTTTTATTATTATTTTAGTGGTGACCCCGACGTGATTGGAAGCAACCTTCACTTCACGGAGCAGATCAGCACCGTCATCCTTATCGCCATCCCTCTCATTTATCACATTATCCATATAAAGTTTGTAAAAATTTATGTAATAGTTGTTACTTATATTGCCTATGTGAAATAAAAAAAATGATTTTTTGAAAAAAGAAACTAATAAAAAATACGAACAAAATGGTTTTTGATTTACATGTAAATAAATACTTACCCTTTTTTGTTACGTTTAAAAAGTTATCAACGACATATTAATTTTATTATTTTAATACTGTCACACTATAGCAGTCAATATTTTTTTTCATATTATTTTTAAAACACATTTTCATATTATCGATATTATTTTTATCGAATTATCCTACATCACTATCTGAGTAGAGACCCGCATTCGAGCCAGTGATAAGCCATTCAAATATCACCTTTATTCTTACAACGTTAAAGTTCAAACCAAGTACCACTTTTCGTCGCTAGATGGCATTGTTAAACGCCATCTAGCGACGAATGGCGGTACTTGGTAGTCCAAAACATACTTTTTTATTTTGATTTATAGTACATTGGTTTTAAAGTTGCATATCATATGATATTTTTTTTGCATTTCGTTTACGCCCATTTTTTTTCTAACCAATCGTAATTTCCGATTTATAGTATGAGTAAATTATAAATGTATTAGTTTGGCGACACCGGTTCTGGCAGAAATATTGTTTCAAGCTACTTCCATTGTATTCTATATTCCGTGTGTCTAATGCTTTAAAATAATATACCAGACGGACATTAAAAAATTAAATTTAGGATATTACCCTATTGCTTCTAGAGATACATTAATTAATAATATTTACATCTTTAACAGGACACGTCACACGTATCAGTAGTGACGGTGGGCAACGAAGAGATCCGGGTTCGAGATTCGGCCGCGACACACATCGCTCTCGGCTCAGTCAGTACTCGGCTCAGTCCAGATAGCTTCGAGAGGTAAATATTTACATCTTACTTTTTTGTGTATGTGATTATGTTTGTTAATCACATTAAAACGGCTGAAGGAATTAATATGAAATTTGTAACAGAGGTAGATTTTGGTCTGGAGTAATAGACAGGTAACTTTTTATCCTCGGAACGCGGGTGAAACCGCTGGCAGAAGCTAGTATGTAATAATAAGATGTATATTTCCGCAGCAGGTCCCAGTCGGACAGCGGGTCGGTGTCGTCAGGGTCCCGCGCGGCCCGCGACGCGGACTCGCTGAGCGCCGCCACGCCCACCAGCGCCTCCCACGACGACCAGCTGCATCTGGCGCATCTCGGGACCGAGCTCAACGGGGGCGCCAGGTACACACATACATACATAACCTCGTGCTTGACTGCCTTATTGGCCGAGGGGTCGATTCCCGAATCGGACAAAGTATTCGTTTTTAAAAATATTCTCAGTAGTTATCTAAAAATCACGTGAATATACTGAGAAAAGCTCTACTACTTCGAACCATAGAGGGGTTCTTCCTCATGAGCAGCTTGCGCGGTCGCGGCGACGTCGAGCAGCCTACTTTAGTTAATTTAGTATGTCTCACGATAATTATTATATTCTCAGTAGTAGCACGGAGTCTGGAATTGTGCCCGGTATATGGCAATAGACTCACCCCATATTACATGGGACTTATAACACAAATAGTGAAAATTGAGTATTACATTGTACAGCAGAATTAAGTGCCGTAATGTACACCGCTGCCTACCCTTTCGGGGATAAAAAGGCGTGATGTGATGCTTATAACTTCACGCCTGTCTCCCATGGAGGTAGGTAGAGACTATGGAACCCACACATAGTTGTATTATGTTTTTGAGATTTTCGTACATTATTAATTATTTATTTAATAGTTTAGTTAGAGTCCGTGTTTTTAGACAGATTATAATAGTGTTTGAAATATGACGTCACAAAGTTCATGGTCTCTCCTTCCTCTTGTCACACAATGTCACACTTCGTCGACCCCCTCCCTCCCCCTCAACCTGTTACGTAGTTTATTCATGGCCCTTTTCTTCTAACTAAACAGAAACAAATAAAAAACAACTTCTACACCTCAATTTCTCTTTACAGAGTGAACGCAGACACCCAAAATCTAGACAACGGCACAGAAGAACCAGTAGTCCTCAGAAGAAAGCAACAAGATGGCCAACCAGTCAACAGGATACAGAGGTCAAAAGAAGACATCCATATGGCCAACTTGAAGAAGAAGACGAGGAAACGCACGAGGAAATTCGAGATAGATGGCGTTATTGTAACTACTACCACTTCTAAGGTCAGTGTCGTGTGGTTATTTAGCTGTTTTATTTTTTTTATGGGATAAGGCCGGTAAACGAGCAGACGGATCACCTGATGGTAAGCAATTGACATCGCCCATGGACACCTGGAACACCAGAAGCGTTTCAAGTACGTCACCGGGCTTTTAGGGATTACGAATTTGAGTATTGTTGGGGATTCAATGATTAATGAGATTGGGGGTAATTGTGCCTCCGGTAATCTCACTCACTCGACGAAACACAACGCAAGCGTTGTTTCACGTCGGTTTTCTGCTCGGCCGTGGTATCACTCCGGTCAAGCCGGCTTATTCGTGCGGAAGCATGGCTCTCCCACACTTAAAATCAACTCTTTGTGTGAACTAAACACTCAAAAATAATAATGAATATTAAACTGTCAAACATCAAGCGGTCACCGGTGACCGCAACCTATTGTTCTATAATTGTGTCTATAATGACGGTACTCGACGAGTTAAGAATACGTTTCATTCATTCTAAATCCTCTTTGCAGGTGATATGGGGCGACGAAGAGAGCGGTCGTACGTGGGACGACCACGCGCTTCGGAAGCAGGAGCTGCGCGAGATAAAGATGTTACAGAAGCAGGAACAGAAGCAGTTCCAGGACCTCAACGCCAAAGAGACACAGCTTAGGGAACAACAGGATAAGAGGTACGATCATATCTACGTCTATCGGTGTATACTTACATGTAGGCTTTTTTTTTAAGCGGGTAAAATCATCAAATGACTGCTCCCGCCTGGGTGAGGCGGGAGGGAGTGTCAGACTCTTACTGACTAAAAACCACCCCGTTCCTTCTCCTGCACGTCGGGCCGGAGCCCCGGTTACCCGTTAGGTTCTCCGCGACTCCGAATCGGCATCGACCTTATTGAGTCCCATCTGTGGTGGTCTGATGGCTCCTTGAGATCGTATGCACATGTAGGTATAAGCTACACCGTGAAGAATGAATTTCATGAGGAAATGATAGTCGACTGCACGTTGGCGCGGTGGCTGGGTAACTGGTTGCCGTGTAACGTGTAGCGGGTTCGATTCACGTAAGAACTCTTTGTGTGATCCACAGGTTGTTGTTCCGTGTCTGGGTGTCATGTGTATGTGAACTTGTATGTTTGTAAACGCACTCACGACACAGGAGACAGTCCTAGTGTGGGGCAACGTAGCTGCGGAAGGCCTAACGGGTTGCTGGGGCAAGGAACGGCGTGGTTTTTAGTCAATAAGAGTCTGACACTCCTCTCTTCCAGGCAAGAAAAGCCATTAGATGATTTTCTCTCTTTAAAAAAGGAAAGTACGGGGAACTTAATCAGTATGTTTTCAATTAATTATTAGTTTTTTTTAATAATTTTAAAAAACTGCTAACAATAGTTTAATTTCATAACTTAAATCGTGGTTGTGCAAGATCTTATATTTTAGTTCAATGTTTTAGCTACTTATAATAATTATGCAAAATTTTTATTATTCGTGCATTTTTTGGTCATTCTACCTACATATTCTATTTAAGTTTTGACAATTTTGTTTATTATAGTTGACATTGTGTTTTTTTTCTATGATTGACTCAATGATTTATATTTGGTCGTATAATTACTACTTTGTATGCCTTTCGGCGGAACATAAGCTGAACTACACTTATAAGATTACTGTACACTGTTTCACAAAAATATATACATTTTACACAAATTCTGTATAACATACGATGTCGGACTTGTGCTGTATTTCGTTACCTTACATTTTTAATGTTTTTGATATGTATAACACATATATGTAAACAACACCCATTCCCCAGGTTCGAAGCGGAGCTGGTAGCGCTGGGCAGGGCGCACGAGTCGGACCTGGAGGCGCTGGGGCGGGCGCAGCGCGCGGCGGCGGAGCGCGCGGACGCGGCGCTGGAGGCCGAGCTGCGACACGCCGGCAAGCGCCTGCGGGCCGACCACGAGCGGGACCTGCGACACTTCCGCGACACGCTCAAACAGGAGCTGCGCCTGCTCAAGCAGGAGGTCGAGCTCGTCGCCAAGGACAGGCGCAAGGTCCGCAGACATACCTAATACTGCTTTCCAAACGTTAATTATGAATGTTTTGTGAACTTTTTACTAACTTATATAAAACTAGCTTCTGCTTGCGACTTCGTACGCACAATCCCATTATCTCCGTTCCCGTAGGATTTTCAGTATTTTTTCTGTCTTAGAACCTTCTTTTTATAATAACAAATACAACAAAAAAAAAAGTGAAATCGGTCCACCCATTCATGCGTGATGCCGTGACCAAGGGAAAAAGGGATTCATTTTGAAATATATAGATATAGATTTCAAGCCTACCTTCATGGATACGAATTGATCGATTTTAATAAAACTTATTATTATTAATTCGCACGTTAATAAGGTCTAAATATTTCTTATAACAAGTGTTATAAGACATTCTGAATTAATCAAAACGATAGATGAGTTACTGACGTAAATATACTAAGATAAGCTCTACGAGTTTTGCGCACGTTTTTCATGAGGGAGACCCCTCTGTGGTTCGAAACTGGTAGATAGTTTTTCAGTATGTTCACGTGAGTAACCTGCGATTTTTAGTTGGTGTAGTACCGTAAAATGGGGTGAATGAGGTTCGAGACGTGAATAGAGACAAAAGGAATAGATTAAGTAAAACCGCGGGTTACTCACGTGAATATACTGAGAAAAGCTCTACTAGTTTCGAACCACAGAGGGGTTCTTCCTCATGAGTAGTAGAGCTTTTCTCAGTATATTCACGTGAGTAACCCGCGTTTTTACTTAATTGAGTATGTCTCACGATAGTTATTATAAAAACAAAAGGAATAGATATTGGGAAATTTTCCATAGTATCGATTCACCTCTCGATCCCTATTCCCCCCATTTTATGGTATGTCTTAGATAGTTATTATGGAAACATGAAATAAATGGTTTGAGTTTGCCTTCGCAGGACGCGTACCGCGTGCGGCGCGCGCGGCTGGACGCGGAGCACGCGGAGCGCGAGCGCGCCTTCGTGGCCGCGCTGGCCGACGGCGCCGACGCCGTGCTGCGCCGCATACACGACGCGCACCGCGACCGCCAGGCCCTCGCCGACACGCAGTACCTGCAGCAGCGACACCAGGTACACGCGTCTAAGGAACACGACACACACGACCTCACGGATCTCCTGATGGTAAGCGATCGGCGTCGCTCATGGACACCCGCAACACCAGAGGACTCACAGATGCGTTGTCGGCCTTAAAAATAAATACGCTCTTTTCATTAAGGTCGTATCGATTCGGAAATACCGCCGACGACAGATCATTCCACAGTGTTGCTGTGCGAGGCAGGAAGCTACGTGGGAAGCGCACAGTTGTGGCCTGCCAACCACCTGTATAATGAGGATGTATGTACTGTCGTGAGGGTCGATGGCGAATAATTTATACTAGCTTTTACCCGCGGCTTCGCTCGCGTCACAAAATGATAAAAAGTAGCCTATGTAACATATACCAATTACACACAGCGCTATCTATACCAATACTTTTGTTTTCCCTTGAGAATATCAATTTTCCGGGATAAAAAGTACCCTATTATTTAATCCGGACTTCTAACTTTATATCTACAAAAATTCAAAGCAATCGGTTTTGTAGTTACGGCGTGAAAGCGGAACAAACAAACAAAACAAACTCACTTTACAATTTATAATATTAGTAAGGATCATCACCAGCATCAACAGCCGATAAGTGCCCACTGCTGACCAAACGCCTCTTCTCACACGAAGAAGGTTTTGAGCATTAATTGCCACGCTTGCTCAAATTAAAAATTATAAGTCCAAGTTTCCTCACGATGTTTTCCTTCACCGTTTGTCAGTGGTGTCTAGATAATCTTATCATAATTTTGAAATATCATAAGTTTGAAATCGCCAACCCGCATTGAGCAGCCATGGTGATTAATGCTCAAACGTTCTCCGTGTGAGAAGAGGCTTTTGCTCAGCAGTGGCTGCTTATGGGCTGTTGCTGATGATGAATAGAAACCTTTACTTATCAACGCCCATTCAGGAGATCTTCGTCTCCTCAATGTGATTTAAATTAATGGTAAATTCATTCTCAGTAGTATTTCTCAGTAGTATATTAAATTCTCAGTAGTAGCACAGAGTCTGGAAATGTGCCCGGTATATGGAAATAGGCTCACCCCTTATTACATGGGACTCATAACATAAATAGTGAAAAGTAGGTTTTACTTCTGTGTGCACCTCTGCCTATCCCTTCGGGGATAAAAGGCGTGATGTTATGTTATGTTAATTTCATAAATTATTAATGACGAAAAAACCTACGTAAATAATCACTTGTTAACAGATAATGCGAACACGCGAAACAGCGCTATGGGAATTGGAAGAGAAACAAATCCACGAAAGGCATCAGCTCGCCAAGCGACAGCTCAAGGACGAGTTCCTGCTGCGGAGACATCAGATGCTCGTCCGACATGACAAGGAACTGGAGCAGATCAAGAGGTATGTAGCTACACGAAACACCATCGTCACTCTTCCAGTCCAGGGTGCTTACTCTTGAAACCAATCTCAATGTCAATGCAATTTCAATCCAATAAAATCTCAATCAATCGTAGGTGTTACAATAGCATTCAGAGTACGGAATATAAAGCCAAACTTAATACCATTTAGTTCATTCAATATCCACGTAATACGAATGCAATGGGCGCTAGTGTTGCAACTCAAGAATACGAAATTTCACAATACCAATGTCGATTGATCGGAATTGGATTCAAGAGTAAGCCACCTGTTCCAGGGAAGCTATTTGCTCGTTTCAAACTGAAGATTCCTACGGAGAAGATCGAGCAAGAAACTCCATAGGTTACTCTTTTTCAATCGGGTTTACAATACAATTCTCTAGTTACATAGTTTCATTGGTTTGATTGTGTGAGAACAATGAAACACCTAAATGTAGTCAAAGAGATTGAAAAAGAAAATAATCTTGAGATAATCTTAATTTAATGATCATCATCATCATCAGCAGCCGAAAGACGTCCACTGTTGGACAAAGGCCTCCCCCTTAGTCCTCCACGTCGAACGACAACTTGCCACCCGCATCCACTGGCTCCCCACAACTCTGGCGATGTCGTCGGTTCACCCATAGTTCAGTGAAAAGCAAAATCGTAGTTAAATGTTACCTATCTTAGTTTAGGTTTCCTAACATTTAGCAAGCGTGGTGATTAATGCTCAAACCGTCTCCGTGTGAGAAGAGGCCTTTGGTCAACCTCACGACGTTTTCCTTCACCGTATGACAGTGGTGTCTAGATAATCTTATGATGTAGTATGAAATAAAAGCTTTTGTTTTTTACAGGAAAAATACTCGCAAGGAGGAAGAATTAGCGAAGGTTCAGGCGTTAGAAAAGAGATCCTTGCCCAAGAGAATCAGAGCGGAGCAGAAGGCGAGGGAGATGATGTTCCGGGAGTCGTTGCGGATCAGCGCCATGAACGCGCCCTCGCATGAGGACGAGAGGGAGAGGCTGAAGAAGGTACGAACATTTGAATTACCTAAATTTTAATGTTTTTCGCTGCTGAATATCACTACATAGTATAATCAGTAGTTTATCAATAAGTCACTCGCTATCCGCCGTCTGTCTGTCCCTATGTATGCTTAGATCGTTAAAACTACGCAACGGATTTTAATGCGGGTATTTTAAATAGATAGAGTGATTCTTAAGGAAGGTTATATGTATAATACATGCGTATTGCATCCGTGCGATACTGTGGCGCATCGCTAGTTTAAAATATCAAGGATCTGAAAATCGTCAGTTTAAACGTCAAATGCCGTTTTTGGTGCATTATACTGCGTCATTGGCCGCGTGGTCGCAAGTGCGACTGCTGGGTTCAGGCAGAATATTACTGGGTTTTAAAAAAAATCTCAGTAGTAGCACAAAGTCTGGAAATGTGCCCGGTATAATGGCAATAGGCTCACCCCCTATTACATGGGACTAATACCAAAAATAATAACACATCGTGTGAGTGACGTTATCGGAGGCCTAATTACTCAAACCCCGAATCCACCACAATCCTCAAATCCCAATCCCAAAACGCCGGTAAAGCACTTGTAACGCCTCTGGTGTTCCAGGTGTCCATGGGCGACGCCGACTGCTTACCATCAACTGATCCGATATGATCTGAACTTATCCCATAAAAATAACTATAGTATACTATACACTATATTAATCAGTGTGTTACATTACACTACGACTGAGAATAACAATTATATAACTAATTGGCGTTTTCTTTTCAGTTCCAAGAGAACGAGAAACGCAGATACCGCGCTGAACAGCAACGCCTAGCGACCAAACATGCCAAAGCGAGGGAGGAGCTCAAGGCCGCTGGAGAGGTATGTTTTTATTTTATATATTTTGATATTTGATGGGCTGCCTCGTTGGCCGAGTAGTCGCAAGTGTGACTGCTGGGCAAGAGGTCTCGGGTTCGATTCCCGAATCGGGCAAAATATTACTGGGTTTTAAACACAATCTCAGTAGTAGAACGGAGCCTGGAATTGTGCCCGGCATATGGCAATAGATTCACTCTCTATAACATGGGACTCATAACATAAATAGTGAAAAGTGGGTGTTACTTCTGTGTGCACTTACAATATGATACATATACCGAATAACATTTATTTTTCAAACTTTTGTCTGTCTGTCCGATTGTTTGTACTGGCTCTCTGGAATGGCTAGACCTATTTTGACGGGACGTTTATTTGCAGGTAATAGATGAAACAAAAGAAAAGTTATGTCCTAAAATTCATATCTGTCACGGGCAACAGCTACTAATGATTAATCGAATATTAAAATAATTTAGGCTCTGCTTAGTATGGGCTCCTGTCTCCCATTGATTGCAGAATTTATAAACATTTGTTTAAACTTTGTTGTTACTTACCTAAAATATGTTTTGACCTGTTGTGATTTTATATATTATGTAAAAATGGGCGAAATACATAAATGATTTAATATTATTTATTATAATCATTCACCAATTTTCCACCAGGCGTTACTCCGAGAGCTGGAACAGTACCAGAACGAGAAGCGCAAGGCTCTTATGAACCACGAGAGCAACAAGATGAAGGCCGTCGAGGAGAGATACTCGCAGGAGTTGAAGGAGTGGCGCGCCACGCTCGGGGACAGGAAACTGGTGAGTTCTGCTTATCCTGTTTTTGATGGAGAGGTTTATAGGTGATGTTTTGTGTGGAGATTGAGTTTAAAATGGCGTACTCTTACTATCATGACTTATACATATTCAATTCTATATAATATTTATTTAAAATTATCCAAATTTCCTTTTACTTCAAAAAAAATATATTATAAAATAGGAGCCGACCAGTAGCGGTAGCATGGGCCAAGCTACCGATTGTTAGGGCCTCAGAGACGGAAACCTCACGATTCGTGTCGTTATAAGGAGAATTGCCTTCTCTATCAGGCCTTTGATCAATCCATCTAACGCCAGCCTCCTAAGATCAATGTCAAGGCTTTGTTATATTCAATTTATTATTAAAGAAAATATTTCACTAATAAGTCCATTAAAGTATAATAAAAATAGAGTCATTCTCGTTGCCTCTCATAAACTCAGTTTTAGTATGTTAACCCTTTATCTATTGAAACACCGGCTCCCGGTATAAAACACGTACCTGCAACTTACAACAGACAAGTGTATAAATAAAAATCGATGATTTTTTCCCCCCTTAAAAAAATTTTGATAGTAAGAGATATCGCCATTAAGTAATTCAATTTCTTTAGTGTATTTTTATGTCTCATATTTATATTATTTATTATTCAATCCCAAATAAAGATATATTAGTATTATAACTTTCGTGATACATACTAAATAAATGATTATATTTTCGGCTTACTCACGTAATTATTTGACGAGGAACTCGACTAGTTTCAAGCCATACTAGAGGCTCGTATTCATGAGCCAACTAGCCGAGTTCCTCGTCAAATAATTACGTCAAGTAAGTCGAAAACATAATAATTTAAAGATATATTTTACGTATGGAGTCCCTATTTTGAATGTCTTGTGATTTTGTTGCCGTTTCGAACAATTATAGTGCGTATGTGATGTATGTGTTTTTGTATAAATAAGTGTTAAATATTATATATATGTACATCATATAATACAGAAGCTTTGTTACATATGAATTTTAAATATTATTTTTTATTTTCTTGTGTAATTTCAATTTCAATATTTGACACTTATTGAATTTATTTTTGTTTTGTTTTGTGCGTGTGTTTGGACTGTATTGTAATACAATGTCAATGAAGACAGGGCCTTGCGCTGGTATTCTACTGGCCCCTTAAGTGACTCGCGGACGAATAAGCTACCAATTAAACATTAACAGTTTACATGAAATTAATTAATTAAACAAAAAATATTGTTTTACAAAATAATACATTATAATTTAACAAAATTGTCCATGCCAGAAGAAGCCTTTGGTCAGCAGTGTCCATTTTTAGGCTGTTGATGACGATGCACAAGAATGGGAACGACTTTGTTAATATAGTTTTCAATACCGGAGGCCCAATTACCTCTCCCCAGTCTCCCCAATACCCGAATCCTCACCAATCCTCAAATTCAAAATTCCTAAAAGGCCGGTAACGCACTTGTAACGCCCTTGGTGTTTGCGGTTACCATGTGCGACGCCGATTGCTTACCATCAGGTGATCCGTCTGCTCGTTTACCGGCTTATACCATAAAAACAGTTTTCAACAATACAGTCTACACACACATGGTTAGGCGTTGCATGTAATTGTATATAGCTTCAGATGTTTGGGTGGAATGTGTGCATGTGGATATATTATAGTCTACATGGAAATATTATTCTATTTGGTTTTATGTCGAACTAGCTACTTCTGCGCGGTTTCACACGCTCTGCTCAACTCCTATTGGTCGTAGCGTGATGTTTTATAGCCTATAGTCATCCTCGATAAATGCGCTATCCGACACAAATATTATTATTCAAATCAGACTTGTAGTTATGGAGATTAGCGCGTTCAAACAAAAAAACAAACTCTTACGCTTTATATAATAATATAAGATTATATAATAGTATAAGATTTGTAAATAATCTAGACATCAGGTAGTCGGGGTGCACTATATTATATCGATATGAATAATTTTAATTCTAATTCTCTTTAGTTGGGTGGTTACAAGCGTAATTTTCGAGCGAAGGGTCTGGAGATCAATTCTGGGGTCGGAAAAGTACTGAGTTTTTCGGAAATGAGAGTCTAGAGTTGAACTGTAACTTCATTTATGATGTAACTTCACGAAAATTAGGGTTTTATTGTAATTATAATAATGAGCTTCCTTTTCGGTTGTGAGATATAAAAACTGCTTGTGATATAAAAACAGTAGTACAATAATATTTCCATGTAAACAAGCATGAATATAAGCTTCAAACTAATGTATGGTGGTGGTATGGAGAAGGTATTTGTTAGGTAAAGGTCCAGAGTTCTAATACCGTCTCGTGAACTGTACACCTCACCGAGGTCTACAGCCATATAAACTGTATTAGATCTCAATACACGTTTGTAATCGTCCCGTGACGTCATAGCCAAAAAGAAAGTTAATAACACGTCAAATTCTAAACAGAATATCATAAAGTCCTTCGAGAAACACCTGGATGATCACGAGAAAAAGTTTGGCATACCCATACCAGACCGAGGAGTCTATCTAAACGCGCCATGGCCGAAAAATGTCCTACAACATGTTCTAAGCGCTTACCAGCAAAGGACATCCTTTATTGGGTCCCTGTCTAGATCCAGGACGAGTTTGAACTTCCTATCCGCAGCCAATACCCCCAATATGGACCGGAGAAGGAGTATCAGCCCAAGTAGAACAACGAGATCTGCTGCAACCAGCGCTAATAACACGACAAAGAGAGGCAAACTCACTAAAGGCAACCGCTATGCCTCCACTTCAAACTTGAAACTGGTTTCCGACAAGATATCAGGGTTCTCAGTCTTTAACTCGAGCGATGATTGGCGCAGAGAACCGATAATGGCTTTTGGAGATGACAGAAAGATTGCAGAAGAATCTGAGAGGCCTAAAGATAAGAAATTAAATAGACAATCGTTGTCCGAACATCTTCTGAAGAAGGAACAGCCTCCGACAATGAAGAGAAGTATTTCACAACAGAGTTTAAAACAAGATAGGGCCTTAGAGGCAGTCATGATCGATCTACCGTCTCTAGAAACCCCATATGCCACCATGAGAAGTGATCGAAGTGATAGTACGTATACTGTTGACTCAGATGATGTGGAAACTCATTTTAGTCGATGGGGTCCCGTAAGAGGGTCGAATAGTTACTCAAATTCGGACTTACCTGTCAGTCAGCTGTCCACGCTTAACGTGAGAAAGTCCATATTATCGGATAAAACAGATGGACCACCGGATTCTGTTGTTTAAAGTTTCGCTTTTTGGATGTGGGAGTTTGAATACTTGGAGATGATTTTTGGAGATTTTTGACTCTTACGTGCCTTGATAGTAGTAGTATTATTATTTCTTATTTTGAAGGTTGATATATTTTTGGCAAACTGTCTCTCATCGACGTATAATTTAATGATAGGTTAACCCAGTCCTTAACAATTGTTTTCGAAACATAAGTACTAAGGAATAGTTAAGCAATCAATATGTTTCTAAATACGGCGTTAAGTTCAGAGGCCTTATTACAAGTATGTTTTACGCTTATAGTAGACGTAACGAGTACGCGTTCGGCGCTGTGATTGGTTGCTTCATTGGCGCCGGCCAATCAGATTGCCTAACGCGTACTCGTTTCAAATACTATAAACGTAAATCAAACTCGTATTAAGGCCTCTGTCCTACGTTCCCTGAGCGCTAAATATCACACAGTTTATTTTTATTATCTTGTCTAGTTGTCCAATTCGCTCCCGCATCCAAAATATGTATAAAGCATGTTTTTATTGTGAAAATTCGCATGTGTTTATATTACTGTAGTGCCAAAGTGTTTTTGCATTGTAATTATAATTTGCTACCTTCACGAAGAGCGTATTATTTCTTAACTCGTCGAGTACCGGTGTTGTAGACACAATTATAGAACAATAGGTTGCAGTCACCGGTGACCGCTTGGTGTTTGACAGTTTAAAAGTTCGGCAACGTACCCGTAACTCCGTGTGTTGCAGGTGTCTACAACTGTAGCCAAATGCCATTTAGCGCTTGTCTACATGTAGAATAGAAAACCAAATTTTATGGGATTGACGTAAATTTTGACACTTTTCATTGTCATCCCCATACCTTTTTGATTTCTACTCTCTCTATTGACAAGCGCTAAAGTGGCTTGTGGCTAGCCTCGTTTATGGCGCTGATCGCTTACCATCAAGTGATCCTGCTCTGTCTGCTCGTGCTTTCTATTCGATCCATGTTATTGGGATTTTAGGTTTTCGATAATTCTAAATAGTTTTACATAGTCTTGTATTGTGCTCGGTGTATGACAATAGGCCTTCTATGCCAAGAGACTCCAACGCCCGTTTTGACCAACCTCTCCTCTAAATTTTAGGGAACCCCTAAGCTAATAAAAGTGGTATACAGGGTGGAATTTTGTAATGTTATCTAAAGGGGAAGTACTCTTAATACTTATGATAGAACATTTTTCTCAATGAAAACATTTGTTAATTTTTGAAAAGAAACAAAACTGCTTTCAATAATTTTTAAAATTCGCTTGCCGCACACGGTAATCGTCCCGACTAAATTCTGTAAAAGTTGCACCCTGTACATTAATTGCATCGATTGTTAGGGTCATTAAGAATCTATAATTAACTTCATAAATTTAATAAAAGGAAAACAATGAAATAAAGTAATGTTTTCTTCGAGTAAAATTTTCTATCTAGTATTGAGTATCAAGAGTACTTCCCCTTCAGGTGGCATTACAAAATTCCACCCGGTATAATAATATTTTGGTTTTATAAACCCACAAGACACTTAATTGATATTACAAGTAACAGGTTAGTTTGGAGACTTGACACTCTCTCGCCTCACCCAAGGCGGAAGAAGTCATTGGATGGTTTCCCCCCCTTAAAAAGGGGCTACGGAACGCTAAGTAACTTTTAGTTGAGAGATGGTTTAGGGGTTGGTGGAAACGGCCGTTTGTCTCATTGGGATTTAATATGAGTAATATTTTTTTCAATATACAGGCTGATGTAATTATAACGACTTTATCTACAGGTTGTTGTTTTTTCCTTACTGTATTCTTAAATATATTTCATCATTTAACTCGTCGAGTACCGTCATTATAGACACAATTATAGAACAATAGGTCGCGGTCACCGGTGACCGCTTGGTGTTTGACAGTTTAATTTCAATGCAAAATCATTTTGGTACAATTTAACTATATTTAATTAAGTTTGTATAAAGTATCTTAATTATTATTTTACTAATCTGCTTTCAAATACTTGCCTTTCATTAACTAATGTCGGAATACTGAAACGTTACTCAATTTTAAGTCGTGCTCAAATATCGTGCCATCTCTGTCATTTTACAAAGAATTTATAGAGATAGAACTATACTTAAGTACGACTTAAAATTGAGTAGCGTTTCAGTATTCCGACATAATTTAATTAATTTAAGATATTGTGTTCAAAGATGTTTGCCATTTGTATTATGCGCTTCAAGTTTTAGCCATTATTATTGATCTATTGGTGATAAATTCGGTACTGTCATATATAGAATGCTGAAAAATACTTCCGAATTTCGAATTGAATTTTTAAGAAAATATGCACTTCCATAGTAAATAAAAATCAATAGAAAGTGGTTCTTCCTATTCTGAACGTTTTTCCGTATACATACTTAGTTGTAATAATTTGGGTATATAAAAATGGCTTCCTAATATTATCTAGTATTATTCTTTAATCTAAAAACGAATTCCCTTACCGATTCGTGTCACAAAATCTTGCCAAAATATGTGTTAGTAAATGTACCAATAAGGCCGGCAACGCACCTGTGACTCCTCTGGTGTTGCGGGTGTTTATGATCGCTTACCATCAGGTGATCCGTCTGCTCGTTTGCCTCCTATTCCATAAAAAAGTCAGACTTACGGCGACGGACATAGACAGTTCACGACATAAATCTAAAGAGGCTTTAAAGAACAGAGTGTATAGTTCCCTAAGATCGGAAAAGGAGGATCCTCCGACCAGGCGAGGTGTTCGTGCCTGGCGGGCTTTCTGCCCAACAGTTGCAAATCAAATCAAATCAATTTATTTGTGAACACAGGTTATACCTCTACAGAAGGGTGTTTAACATACATTAATAGCATCTCTATGTTCTACCAATAAAATTGGTGTACAAATAGTTATTAAGTTAGGCAGGTACCAAGCATTATTAATATATTTAAATTAAACAAGTATAAAAGAATCATGATAGTATGTCAAAATTTATCATTTAGAAATAGGTCAATAGAATAATATGTCTTGTCAATTAAAAATAATGTCAGTTTTCGTTTAAAAAGTCTAATATTATTTTCGTTTCTTATAAATTTTTGGAGCCATTGCAAACATACTGTTCCTGTACAGTGCAGTTCTAGATTTTAATAAGTGTAACTGGTCACAACGACCTCTGCCTCTGTAGTCTTCTCTCCGTCCCCGATAGCGGGCGCGAGGCCGCACGAACCAGGCCCCAATAGTTGTTCGTTGGGATTTTCTATCCGTGTTCGTTGGGTTGGGATTTTATATTCGTGACATAACACCTAGATCCCACAAGGCCTTAGTAAGGTCCTTGTAACCGGTCATAAAAAATACATGCACAGATAATCACAATGAACAACTGTTGTGCAGAAACCCGCCAGGCAATCACCTCGTCTAGTTAAAGAATCCTTTTTCGACCTTGAGGAACTGTACTCACTGTTCCCTAAAGACTTCTCGTGATAGTCCATTGCCTCCTCTACATAAGAGGGTTTGTCATAATCTATGCAGGCAGGCCGGTTGGAGGTCGTAGTTAAAACGTTCAGGTTTATCAGAGAGCGCTGCTGCCTGGGTCTTACTCTTGAATCCAATTCCGATCGATCGACACTATATTCTAATCTAGTATTTTGAAATTTCGTACTCTTGAGCTGCAATACTAGTACCCATTGCATCCGTATTGCGTCAATATTTAATTTTATAATAACTATCGTGAGACATACTAAATTAACTAAAAATCGCGGGTTACTCACGTGAATATACTGAGAAAAGCTCTACTGGTTTCGAGCCACATAAGGGTTCTTCCTCATGAGCAACTCTGTGGGTCGAAACTAGTAGAGGTTCTAGAAAGTAGAGAGAAACGTGAGTAACCCGTGATTTTTAGTTAACTAAATGGTATTGAGTTTGGCTTTATATTCCGTACTCTGAATGCTATTGTAACAGCTACAATAGGCTTTGACATTGAATAATTATTGAGATTTTATTGGATTGAAATTGCATTAACATTGAGATTGGTTTCAAGAGTAAGCACCCCAGTCTCTGTGTCCCTTAGTCGGGATATCACACCCGCGGGAAAGGCAAGCGTTAAAATTGGTACATTTACTTCACAAATTTGCAAAAACCTTCCAAATATAAAGCCAAAAAGCTTCGCTTCCTTAGTATTTATTGTTAGATAGACGATACAGTATTGTTTTAAATTAAATTTTACAAGTATTCTAAATAAAATTATAGTAGTAGATATAATATAAATATAATTACATGGTACTCATAATAGAACTGGTCAAAAGTGGGTGTTACATTCTACATGCGTCTCTGTCTACCTCTTCAGGGATTTCAGAAAAAAAAAGCTAGCAGCAGATCGAACTACGCCGATCTGTCAATATTATTCATTGTATTTTAGACTTAATGTCAATGCAATAAAGTTGAAGATGTAATTATATGCAATTAGCTCACACCCTATTACATGGGACTCATAACATAAATAGTGAAAAGTGGCATTAAGTGTCGTAATGTGCACCATTGCCTTTCCCTTCAGGGATGAAAGGCGTGAAGTCATGTTATGGATTTTCGACTTTATGTCAATACAATAAATTTGAAGATGTAATAGAATCTGAAATTGGTAGGTTGGCCTGCTGGCCACCGTATGTCGATCGGTCTATAGTCCAATAAAAACGGGCTTTTCAGTCGTTAAAAGTAATAAATTCATAGATTAGTTCAAAAATTAAGAAGTCAAGGTATATTAATAAATGCTTTTGATAATTTAAATGTATAAATATGACTGTCATGTCCAGATATTCAAATGCCAGTTGTAAGTAGCTCTCAAGTATAATTCTATAAATTCTTTGTTAAGTGACAGAGATGGCACGATATTCGAGTCCAACTTAAAATTGGGTAGATATTTCAGTATTCAGGCGTAAGTCAGTTGTTTTAGGGTCGTAGATAGTTTGTTGTTCAAAATTGAGCTTAAATGCCTTTGTAACAAAGTGTTGATTGAGTTGCTGTTAGTGTAATTGACAGATAATAATTAATCCAAAGAATTTTTTAGAGAAATGATGCAGGATTTTTTTTAGTACTCACAAATAATCTGCCTACGAAAATTTTAGCTTTCTACCTACCTTGAAAATTGCGGAATACTCTATACAAAATTTGGAGACAGGGGGGTAAGATTGAGACAAAAATTCCGTGGAAGACGAAGAACAAATAAACAGACATTCTTTCGCGTATATCGTGAGAGAGCCACATATGGGCAGCTTCGACCGGACTCATACCACGGCCTTATAGAAAACCTACGTGAAACAACGCTTGTGTTGTGTTTCGCCGTAAGAGTGAGGTTAACGGAGGCCCAATTTATCGGAGGCCAATACAACGCGTTTATAACTCCTAGTTTTGCGGGGGTCTAAGGGCGACGCCGATAGCTTACCATCAGTTGATCCATCTGCTCGTTTAACAACCTATCCCAGAAAATATTCGTGTGCAATTTGTGTCAATTATACTAAACAGCAACTTAATCAGTCATAAAACAAGGCATTAGTGTTTAACCGACTTCACAAAGAAGTATGTAGTATATCTTTTATAGCGGGGGGAGATAAAATATTGCCTTAATATATAAAATTAAATATACTTTAGCAATAAATTGTTTTCGAAATTTTTGAGTGTAAAGTGGCCTTATTGGCTAATTTTATTGTAGGCTTGAAATTTTTTGTAAGGACAATGAATAAGGGAGCTCAATTTAAAAAAAATGCAAGAATCTATTTGAATGCCCTAGCTAGACTATCATTTTCCTTGAGCTTTACAAATAATAGCGTGATTAAACAGAAAGCAAAGAGTTGGCACATATTTTTTTCTTTTGTTTGGGACAAGCCCGCCACAGCCTCCCAAACCGCTGCAACTCCTGTAAGCCAGGATATACAGTAGGTACAAAAAAGTAGATACATGGAAACACCACTGAAGTCTGACGCGTCCCAAAGTCATAAATAATTGTCTTGGATCACGCAACGAAATAAATCAGAAGATATTAACAGAGGAGTAGGAAAAAACGATAGTTTTCATTTCCCTCGGTGAATTTATGCAGGAGGGATTTATGCAGGAGACAGAATTACTTACCATCAGGTGATCCGTTTGCTCGTTTGCCTCCTATTCCATAAAAAAAAGACTTAAGCCTAAAGGCACATAAGAGACTGCACGAAGTACGGCAGTAGTAACTCCTCTAGTATTCCGGCTACCCATGCGCGTCTCCGATTGCTTACCATCAGGTGATCCGTCTGCTCGTTCGTTACTTTATCTCCATAAAACTATATTAGAAGATTGTTAGGATAGACAATATCTCGTTATAAAGTCCTTACATTGGTTAGTTCGTTGTGCCTAAATCCAAAGCTAGTAGGTTAGAAAAATATATTTTAGAATTATAAT